TACCATGGTGGTTTTTTTTCTCTGAAGTTCTAAGGCCTACCACAGTATCTTGGGCATGACAGACACTCACTAAACATTAATTCCTCTTACAGGAATGTTTCAAGAATAAATGAGATAATGAATGAGAGAGCAAACTGTAAAATGCTGCTGCATTTATTATTGTTTCCTATGGATATACTTCTGGGTCTTAGCTACATTGATATAAGTATTTATACAACAATAATTTATATAACAATATGTGCTACAGCTCAAGCTGAAGTCAGACGTTGCTGTGATCATCAGAAATACACTTACACTCATATACCTGTGCATTCATCTCTGAATTCACGTAATTAACAACAGGACATTATCGAAATTCCTGGGTGAAGGTGACAGATCTCTTAGTAATTTGGCCAGGAAGCAGGGTGGGTGCTAGCCTGGGGAATGAACGGTGTCACCTGGGCTTTTCATGTGCTCACACTCCCCTTTCCAGAAGACAGTGGTCTGTTGGTTCTTTCCTTTGTTGTGTCCATAAGAAATCAGCTGCTGGAGGGGAAAGATGCACCAGGCCCTTCAACTTAGTTTATGCTCTTTTTTCAGGAGGGCAGAAATACTGACAGGCTAAACCCGTGTCCTCCTTTCTGGGAATGGACGGTGGCTGAGGAGGGGACCGTGAGATGTTGATGGTATTGTGGGAGTTGCTGCTGAATATCAGGGCAGAGTCCAAGTTTGCTGTCACAGCCCTGTCAGAATATAGCCTGCCAGGCAGGGCTGCCACCTCTCCCAGTGCCTGATTCTATCTGGTAAGTCAGTGAGTGGCTCCTTCCTTATCACACTGACACTCAGGGTCCAGCAGATCCAGTGCACAAAGCTGTCTGCACACCTCTTACCAGCTCCGCCTGCACAGGCCACATCTGATCGCACGCACTCCATCTAGGACTTCTAGAAATGTCCCTCCCCTCTCTCCATCCCTTCTTTTTTCCTTAAGGACATTTACTTTCTTTAATTTTTACTACATTCTCAAGGTTAGAAAATGATTATAAAAAAGATAAAGTGTCCCTCCCTTGGCTCTCTTAGAAACTCTGGGCCTGCTGTGTACTCTTCCAGGGATTTTAAAAGACTACATATGTGGCATATTCACATGCCAATTTGCATACACCTTCCCACCTTCTATATTTCTTTTTAAATATTTGTCTGGTAATACACAGCGTTTTGTTCTTCAGTTTTCCCAATAAATAATGTCTTGGAAGTCTTTCCACATCAGAACAGGAAGAGTTTCTCTATCATTTTTCATAATGGTAGAGTTTTTCAGGCCACATAACTTCTTTAATCAGTTCAAAACTGGAGGACATCTACAACCAGTGCTACAATGGGTAACCTTAAGCATATATCATTTTCCAGTTATATACTATAACTAAAATGGACTTTCTGGGGCAAAGTGTACATGGACCTGGAGTTTTTGTAGCTACTACCAAACTGCCTGTACTAAGAACGGCACCAGCTTAGACATAAAGTGTAAGAAATGTAAAAGTTTAAAATAGGAATAATACTACCACCACCATCCTATGTGCTGAACACATTTGATTTATCATCTAATTTAACGCCCGCTACAACCATTTGAGGTAGGTTATTGTGCCTTTGTCGGAGGGGAAACCAAGACTTGGTGGTGGGAAGTGTTTAGCTCCTTCCTCTATACTCCTTGCTGTTCTTGATAATCTAGAAGTCAAGGAGCCAATGAATATTCATCTTGATAATCAGTCTTTATCAGACACCTAATTATGCCAGGCATGTTGCTGGCCAAACCCGTAGGACAGTCCCATGACACAAGCTCTGTTTTTACCTTCAAGTTCAGAAATGAGAAAATCAGAGCTGGAGAGACAGGAGTCCTCAAGCCAAGGTTACCCCAGGCTTAAACCCAGGCAGGCTAGCTGCACAACCCAAGCCTTTCCCAACATTACACAGAGGTCACAGGCAAGAAGCTTCCAGAACATGCAGACCGTGGTAATCACCAGTGAACCCCCTAACTACAGATGAGGAAAGTGAAGCCCAGACAAGAGGTGAAGGGACTGGGTTAGTGGCTGGACAGGGCTATTTCCTTTCCTTTGATTCACAGACAGTGTCCTTTCTTTATACCTTGCTGCCACATAAGTGCCTGACACCCTCAGCCTTGAGTCATTACAGAAGTGCACATGGCAGGTCAGACTTCCAATCTGACTGGTTCAGCCCACTTGGCTAGTTCTAGCCGAGAAATCAGAGAGCCTGGGTCTGTGGTTTAACTCTCTTACACACTTGCTACCATTTATTGTAATCATAAACTGTTATAATTTAAATCTAAAATGTCCCCCAAAAGTCTAGTTGTTCAGAAGCGGGGCTTTTCAGATGACTGGATTGTGAGGATTCTAACTTCATCACTGTGTTAATCCATTGATGAGGCAATAATTTGATAGCATCATTGGGAGGTAACAAAAACTTAGGAGGTACAGCCTAGTTGAAGGGGTTAGGTCTTGGAGGCGCAACCTTAGAGACCACATCTTGTCCCGGCCTCTTCCTCCTTGGTGCTCTTTCTGTCTCTGTACTTCCTGGCAGCCATGACATGAGCAGCTTTCCTCTTCCCTGCCCTGTCACCATGGTGTTTCTGCCTCACCCAGGATCACAGGGAGTGAAACCAGATGACCATGGACTGACACCTGTGAAACCATAAGGCACATCTTCCAAGGTGCCTTTCTCAGATGTTTGGTCACAGCGATGAAAATCTGACTAATGTAATAGCTAAAGCCAGTACATATTCAGCACCTGCTATGTACCAGGCACTATAATTAAGCACACTGTTTCCCTTAATCCTTGTAATACCCTGCAGCTCAGAGAGGTTAAGTGTTTTGCTTGATGTCATAGTCACTTAGTGGCAGAGCTGGGATTAGAATTTAGATATTCTTAATGAGAAAACCATAATTTTTAGAGGTAGAATGGTATAATGGTTAGGAAGCTTATCTTTGGAGTTACACAAGTTGATTCTCTCACTTATTATTTGATGAACCCAGAGAAATTACTCTATATTTATGAGCCTCAGTTTCTCTCTCTATAAAAAGAAAATTAATAAATGTCTGTTAATCAAAAAAGTATTTACATTCATGTCCATGGCAGAATTATCTACAATAACAAAATGGTAGAAACAACCCAACTGTCTGTTCACAGATGAATGGATAAACAAAGTGTGATATTCAACCTAACAGGAAATGAAATTCAGACATAAGCTACCACAGGGAAGGACTTTGAGGACTTTATGCTAAGTAAAATCAGCCTATTACAAAAAGGTAAATATTATATTAGGTGTGATCAAAAGATGTGGTGACTGCTTAAATATATAGATAGATGATAGATAGATAGACAGTAAAGGACACATTGCCATTAATCTTCCTCAAAAAATTCCTCCCTTCAAATACACATTCCATCATTCTGCCATATGCTGAGGTGATTCTGGAAATCCTTTTTCATCCTCTTTTGAGTGTCTTTAGTTGTGCCATCATGTCTGCCTCAATGTCCTGACTTGATTCAAGATATTTACAGCAGTTTTTGTCAAACAAAAACAGTATGAAGGGTTGGAGATATAGATCAGTGGCACAGCACCTGCCTGGTAAGCACAAGGTCCTGAGTTTGATTCCTGGTACAAAAAAACAAAAAACAGTATGATGTGTCCTTATCAACATTTTTTATAAGACCTGGCACCGTGCAACTTCCAACTCTTCCTCCAAGTCAAAATGGTGATGAAAGGTAAATTTTTTGAATCAATTTAGGACATCAAGACAGCCACAACAGGGAAACTAAAAATGCTCATGGAGGAGGACTCCCAGAGCTGCTTCAGAAAGTGTCAAGAACAGTGGGAGAAATGTGTTTGAAGCAAAGGGGAGCATTGTGAGAGAGGTTAATGGCAATGTGTCTTTTACATAATACATTGCTTTTTTAATTTAAGCATTCACTCTATATTTCTATTATACATCGGTGTGTTCTTACACAAGGTAGGGGAAGTAGTGAACTTCGTAGAGAGAAGAAAGGGGAATTGTCAGGGGAGGGAGAGAGAAAATGGGGTGATATTTAAAGGGTGTGTAGTTTCACTTAGGAAAGATAAAAAAAAGCCATGTAGATGACTGTAGTGATAATCTCATAACAATGTGAGTGCCTTTAATGCCACAGATATTTGACTATGATTAAGAGTAAAATTTATTATATTTTACAAAAAATTTTTTTAAAGAAAAATAACATTTGTTTTGAAGAGTTATGAAAGTTAAAGAGATCATGTTCATCAGGGTTGGCACAGGCCTGACCCAGAGGAAGAACTCAGTCAGCAGAAGTGATGCCTGTTGTTCTTACCAGTAGTAACTGTGGGTGTCACAGAGCCCAGAGCCCTCGGCCTCCTGCATTCCTGAAGGAAAGACTCTGAGCCCTTCCCTGGGTGGCCGTGAGACACAAATGACAGCTTGTGTGTGAAAAGACTCCAGATCCACCTTGAGACCATGATGTTAAGTGAAATAAATGAGACACATAAGCTTAAATATTGCAAGGTTTCACTTCTACAAGGAACGCAAAGTTAAAGTAGACAGCAAAATAAAAGGTAGTAGGAAGTATGGAGATAGCTCTTCCTCGAAGGAGAAGGGGGTCAAGAGATGGAGGGGGTGGGTAGGGGAAGGGGATGAAAAAAGAACTAAGCTGTGGCAGGAGCATGGACCAGCTCCACACAGGAATGCAAACATTGTGTACGGCAAACATGTACTAACAGTAATTTAAAAATAAATAAATACATGGCTGCATAAACTGTTAAAAAGAAAAGTTGAGAAATGGTTGATCAAGGAGTAACTGGTCATTTCATAGCTGGCTGAGCTTTTGTCTGTCTTCTCTTTAATCAAACAGCCCATGGCCTTCTGTGGGGGTAACTTCTTCAGGCCTCTCTGTCCCTGTCTGTGGAACCTTCACAGAACCCTCTCTCATTCCACATTCCAGCACTCAGCACCACCCCTGCACCTACCTGATACACGTGGGGCTTTTGGGAGGGGTCATCAATATTCGCTGACATCAGCTGAGTGTGGGAGACTTGAAGCAACCCTTCAGATGATTTCAACCCCCAAATTTCCTTCTGAGGAAGACAGGAAGTTCAGCCCCTCATGAACTGGGGTCCCCACCCTGGGCCAATTTGTCCAGTGAGTGTTCAATTGTCCATCCCTGCACAAACACAGGCTGAAGGTTAGTGGGTATTGCCCTCTGGGGAAGGGGAAGGCAGGAGAAGGGAGGGAAGGAACAGAAGGGAGGGAAGGGAAGGGAAGGGAGGACAGAGGAAGGGAGGGGAAAGGAAGGGAGGGGAAGGGAAGGGAGGGGAAAGGAAGGGAAGGATGAGAAAAGAAAGATAATTCAGAGAAAGTGGGGGACTGGACCTCATAGGAAAAGGTGACTTCAGGACATGAGCTGCCTAGTTGTTTTCAATGATTTTCATTACTTGGTTTGAACTTCCATGGAGTAAATGTTTCTCAGATTTATTTTGAAGAATCTAATTCTAGAATCTTTGAGCCACAAAGAATGCAATAAAATACCTGCTCCTTGGACATGGAGATGACACCCTACAGACAGAGGCCCCAAGTGGTGAAATGATTTGCACAAGGTCTCGGAGGGAAAGTGTCAGAACCAGGACATTTTCAAATCCAGCTTGCAGGTCCTAGACAGGAGGGATTCCCACAGGCCCCATTGCCTGCCCAGGTGAGCCTTGGACTAGCTGAGCAGTTTCTCTGGAGCAGGTAGGTAGCTTGTTATTAAAATATCAAACATCTTTGCCCAAAATTCTCTCAACCTTTCATGCTGGTCCAGGCAGCTAACTTTTGGACTAAGTTTGCCCTTCAAACTCTAGACCAGAAATACCACTTATCTTTATTTTTTCTTCTGACTCATAATAATTCCTCGGAATGTTCTACAGAAGGGAGTGTTGATAAGCTACAAGAGAGGAGGCAGAAAATATGGTGAGGTGGTATGAGGAGCTCCCTTGCTCTCCAAACGCAAAGGAGCAAGCTGACTCAACTGTCAGCGAATGACAAGGGACTTTTACCTAAAGCGAGAGAAGAAAATGGCCACCACACCCACTTAGCACAATTTGCCAGTAAATTCAGTGTGTCCCCATAACTGTGTCATGGGGAGTTGTGGTGGAATTAATAGTGTAGTGGACACTCTAAGATAAAGCATGGGAAAATTAGGCGATTTGTTTGAAGGAGTACGGCAAACCCCTGAAGTCCAACTCAAGTGGTCTCAGGCTAAGACTGCTTCCTGCCTCTAGAAGATTTCACAAGGCCAGGAAGCCAGCAGCTCTGGGGTCAAGTGAAGGGGAGGCAGCTCCGGAACACACCCAGAACAGTTTCTGGTCAGGCATTCCTGGCAACATGTGGTGCCACAGTGCACCCACGCCTCTTTCATGATGAAAGCTGATAGGCAAGACTGAGTGTCCACTGGGGCCTCCTGCGTGGTTTAGGGGCACTGAGCGGTCTCTCTTCTAAAAATATCTCCTCCCCTTCCTGTTGTGGAGGCTGAAGTAATCTCATGGAAGGTTACTCCCTTGGTTTGAAACACTGTAGGCCTCGGAGATCTGATTTTAAAATTAAATACTGTTATGTGTAGCACAGAGTTATTACCCCACCATGACATCCCCTACTTGGCACTTATTTATTTTCTTTTCTAACTCCAAAGAAGGATTTGAAAGCTCATATGTTTGTTTCTCAAAGTAGACAGCTGAGGGAACAAGACCTTGTTCTGGAAAATCCAGGGAACAGCTGGAGACAACCTGAATTCTACCTTAGATGTCTCACTTTTCTGCTCAAATATTACAGTACCTTCCTATTGCACTCTAACTGGAATCCAAACTCAGAATCTTCTGAGGCCCTGAATGCTCAGGTCCTCACCAAACTCGCCACCCTCACCCCGTATGCCTGCCATCTTGCTCTCTGCACTCTCATCTCCCCACACAAGGGCATCAAGCTCTCTCCTGCTGCTGAAATCCCCTATAAGCTGCCCTCCTGCTGGGAACATTTCCCCTTCTCCTGGGACCTTGATATCTTTCAGACCTTACCTTGAATTGGTGACCTCCTTGACTGTCCCACCAAAAGAAGGGGTTCTCTCTCAACTTTCAAAACACTGTCCTTTTCCTTTCTACAGTCTGAGTGTGTGTGTGTAAGTCAATCCTCGTTATCCTCAAATTCTATATTTAAGAATTTGCTTACTCCCTAAAATTTATTTACAACTCCAAAGTCAGTACTTGAGGCACCACTGAGGTAACTGGAGGGTATGCACAGAGCAGGGAGAATCCAAGTAACCCAAGACACATGTTCCAACTGAGACCCAACAAGGCCACACTCTGCCTTCTGCTTTCTGCTCATGGACTGTCAAACAGTACAAGGGAACAAGACCTTGTTCTGGAAAATCCAGGGAACAGCTAGAGAGAACCTGAACTCCCCCTTAGACATCTCGAGTGTCCTTTCCACAGTCAAGTTTTTCACATTTTTGTGCTCTTTCTTGGTAGTTTTATTGGCTGTTTCAAATAGCCCCTATGTGCAGTACTGAAGCACTATCTAGTGGGCCTAAGTTCATGTGCCTCATGCAGGAAATAAGAGTGCTGGGCCAGAGTTACTCAGATAGGAGCTATACTGCTGTTGGCCATGAGTTCACTGTCAATAAATGGATTATATCAAACAAGGCATCTTGGGGGCTGGGGATTTAGCTCAGCGGCAAAGCGCCTGCCTGGCAAGCGCAAGGTCGTGAGTTCGGTTCCTGGTAGGAGAAAAACCAAAAAAACAAAACAAAAAAAAAAAAAAAACAAGGCATCTTTAAACAGAAACACACATAAAACAAGGTTATGTATTGATTGGTCCCCAAAACCAGAAGTTCATAGGAAACTAACCCTATTGTCCCCTGGAGCTATAGTCCAGTATTTGCTAATTTGGTACTTGTAGTGACTTTACAGGACTAGCACAAATAATGAATATAATTTGTATTTTTAATCCTTTTTTAGGGCTGCCATAATAAAGGCCACAAACAGGGTAGCTTACAGCAACAGAACTTTATTCTCAAACTGGAGGTTAGCACTCTAAAATCTCCAGAAACGAGGTTCTGCCCTCGGCTCCAGAGGGAGCCTGCCTTGCTCTTCCCCATCCCTGGTGACTTGTGGACACTCTGTGCCTTGGTCATCGCACGGCATGCTTCCTGCACATCCCTGGCTCCTGTCTCTCCCCCTCTCATGTGCATAAGAGTCCTAGACTTAGGACCCAACCTATCTCATGACATATGGTCTCATCTTCGTGAATCACATCTGCAGAGACCCTGTTTCCAAATACAATCGTATTCAGAGTTCCCAAGACATGAATGGGGGAGCACTACGGAACCCAGTAAAATATGAGGGCTGATCAAAACAGACAGTGAGTTTAAATAAAAAGGTATTATAGTAAAGGACACATTGCCATTAGTCCTCTCAAAAGACTCCTCCTTGCTTCAAACACACTGACCCCATCCCTCTTACCACTCTCTGAAGCAGTTCTAGGAGTCTTCTTTTGGGTCTTCACGAAGAATGATAGAAACGTCTGAGGTAAAAGCAACCTCGTGAAAACATTCTGGTGCATACTCATGCTCCTTTTTCACCAGGTCTGGCACCATGCAACTTCTGGCTGTTCTCCAAAGTCCATGAATATTTTGAATCTATTCAGAACACTAAGGCAGGCACAACAGTGCACAGAAAGACACTCACGAAACAGGACTTTCAGAGCTGCTTCGGAAAGTGGTGGAACAATGGGATAAATGTGTTGGGGAGAGATTATTTTAAGGGGGGGTTAATGGCAATGTGTCTTTTATAGTAATACATTTAAATGTCTTTCAACATTCATTGTTTTTCATCATACTTAGTATTTGCACACAGAGACCACTAATGTTTACCAATCTGATATCCTTCTCTCTGACTCTGTAGAAACTTCCATGAGGCAGTAAAATGGCTTATTTATTTACCCTTTGTATCCCAATACTCCATCTAGCCTAATAAATGATAGAAGCTCCATGAATATTTGCTGAGGAAGAATGGGTGAATGAATCCAAAGCTTAGAATGTCAGTGATCCTTGTGGCAGCAGGGAGCAAATTCACCTGGAGTCCGGGGCTCCTGTGTAGGCCACATCTCGCAGGTGAGCCGAGCAAAGAGGCCAGGTGGATGGTCTCACAGCCTCCCTCCCCTTGCTACTGCACCACACCCAGTTCCCCACTGGTATTGGCTCATGCGTTCTGCTTCTACGCAATATTCTTTCTATAAAAGTGGCTTAATGGGCGTTGAAGGTGTGGAAACCACTGAACCCCATTTTATAAACAAGGAACGATGTCCAGAGACACTCAGGGCTTTGCCACTGGCCAACGGCCTGTCATGATAGACACAAGGCTAAGTCTCATGTCTTCAACGCCCTATTCCAGGAGCTTTGCCTTTATATCCACCCTCCTGCCAAGACAGACAATGGGAGTACTTTGGAATTTGCCCTCCTGGGACCCTGTTTTTCTATCAGGAGCAACTTCTGAGAGAAGCAATTGGAGCCTGTGGCATGTACCCCTTCACATAGCTCTAGAAGATCCCTTGTGCCAAGCTCCATGGACATTCCAAGGCCCATTTTAGGCAAGTCTATCTGAGCACAGGTCACGATCCTTGCCTTCATCTCTGAGCTGAAGTATTTTGGCCTTTCTGCTTTTAAATGCACCCTCTGCTTTCTTGGAAACTGAAGCCAAGGAAGGGAGGGCAGGCCCGGGAGGCCTTAGGGCAGAAGGGTGGGGTGGACTGCCAGAGGAAAGGGGTCTGTTTTGCAGACCTGGCCTGAGAAGAAAACCCTGCTGATTATCTCCCAGGCCAGCTGCAGAAACAAATGCCTCAGCTTGGCAGCAGATTATAAATAGCCCAGAATCCACTCCCAGCCACTTGAAAACAAGGAATTTTTTTCTGTGTTAAAAGAACACGGCTTCACAGCTATCCTGAGCCCCTTATGCAACCCCACCCCCAACAAGCCATGATTTATGCCATAGCACCATTACTGGGACCAAGAATCACACAGCTTCAATAAATGATGATTAATTCATTGCCACATTCAAAATATTAAAAAGGAGTCATTTCTCTATAAGTTCAAAAAATTTTTAAAAAGGAGGCATTCCTCCGGAAGTCTTCTCTTTCACTTGGGCACAGACACACTGACCCATGATCCCAAGGGGCAGTTTCTCTGCGGGCTCACACCCTGGGATTCGTCTGGCCTGCTCTGTCCTCGTGCGGAATGGGAGCTGGGAAAGGGCTGGCAGGCTGCTGAGCTGGAGGGCTGGAGGGCCAGGCAACCAGAGAAGAGCTCCTCTGAACCTGTTTGCTGAGATGCTCTGGAATAAAGAGCCCACAGGTGCTGCACCGTGTTATTTACAATTGTTTTCTTTAGAGGGAAATCCATCTCTATTTTTTTTTTTCAGTAATTGGGATTAAATCCAGGGCCTTCACACTGCACTACATCCCCAGCCCTTTTTAAATTTTCATTTTTGAATTTTGACACAGGGTCTTTCTAAATTGCCAAGGCTGAGCTCAAACTTGTGATCCTCCTGCTTCAGACTCCCAGAGTGCTGGGACTATAGACTTGTATCAGTCCCTTTTGTAAGGAAATCAGGAATCAGGTCTCCATGAAAACATCGCAGACCTTCTTGGACCATTAGCTCCCGCTTGGAGACTGAGATTGAAAGGCAGATCCTAAGATACAAAGCACTTGCTACACCCTGCTTTCATCCTCTCATCTGAACTTTACAACAATTGTTTGTTTGTTTTTCTAGAATCAGAGGTAATGCTGGCTAGTTACAGACAAGCTTGAAGATTCAGAAAAGCATAAAGGAGAAAAAAAATCCCACCCAAATCTCACCACATGAGGACAGCAATATTTTCATGAACATCCTTCCAGGCCTCCCTTATTGGATGTATAAGTGGGCATCATTTTATCTAAGTGGGATTATGTCATTGAATCAGTGGGGCTCCTGACAGAAATGTAGAGACCACTCAACTGGGTAACTGAGGGAAAGTTCCACAAAGGGATTATTTACGTATGTGTGAGCAGAGGTTGGGAAACAGCAAGGAGAGCAGCACATCCTGGCCAGCAATAGGCGAGAGCTGCTATCACCTGTAGGCCTGAAGAGCAAGGGAGGGAGTGCTTACTGCAAACCAGGTGCTGTCCAGACTGTAGCTCTCCGAGGAGGCACAGCCACCCTAGCTGTGAAGGAACCAGAGGAATAAATACCCTCAGCTCACTCTCCTCTCTCCTCCCACACTGCAGCTGCAGTGCCTCCCATTAGCCAGCCAAGCAGAGGGATGGATGCCCAGCAACAGCAGAAAATAACCCATGCTACTCAGTGGTAAATCAAGAAGTTTATAACTCAGTGAGTATAGATTGACATCATACTTTTCAGTGGGCTTTTATGTATGGATTGTGATTTTCATCTCTGTGGATGGATGTGTTAGTTTCTAATGTTTTCAGAATATAGCCAGTGCTATAAACTGTACATATAAACTTTTTGTGAACTTAGGTTTTATATATATATATATATATATATATTTTTTTTTTTTTCTTCTTTTTGAGACAGGGTCTCACTATGCAGTTCAGGCTGGCCTTGAACTCACTTTGTAGCCCAGACTGGTCCCAAACTCCCAAGACCCTCCTGCCTCAGCCTCCTGAATACTAGGATCACAGGTATGGGACACCCATACCTGTAATCCCAGCAGAATATATCTTTTTTATTTCCATTTGACACTTTTTGGAAACTGAGGCTCAGAATTCATGAGCTTTGCCCTGCTCATACAAGGTAACTTGTGATTTTTCTGAGTCTTTAGTTTTCTTCAGTGGTGATCATCAAGTATTTCTCAAGAGAAAAAAGAATAATACATCTTTGGTTTTGAAAGTAAAACAAAAAACACGGCTGCCTGTATGTTGTAGTCAGGGTTTTCAATGGAACAGATTTAATACAAGGCACACAATTTATAGGATTATTTGTAATATTCACGCAAAGAGTCAAATTCAGAAGGGTACAGGAGATCTGTCCACACACTAGAGACCCAAAGAATCCATGTGAGGGCCTGGATCCCATGACAGTGTCCTGTGTGAGTCCAGCTAAAGACCTAGAGCCCATGGCAATGTCCTCCACAAGTCCAACCAGAGGCCTAGAACCCATGACAATGTCTCATGCAAGTCTATATCAAGGATCTGCACTGGGAAGGCCCAAAGATCAGCGGTGGAAGCTAGAAAGTCTGTGCCAGTGGGATGAAGGATCTGTGTCAGCAGGCTGAGGGATCTGCACTGGAGCCAGGAAGTGACACTCAAAGTAAGGACCAGAGCTCTCCCAAAGAGAACCACAGCCATCCTCAGCAACAGTGAGGACCTGAGCTCCTCCAACAATGAGAATAGCCAAGTTCATATCAGGAAAACCAGTGTAACAATCTCCTCCAAGAGAATCAATAGCACACCATCTTCCCCTCCAGTTCTGCTTTTATGCTGTTGGCAACAATCCTCAGGTGGGCCTTCCACACCCAGCACCACGCTGACTCAGTTCAGCTGGGTGCTACAAGTTGACCATGAGTTAATCCACCACACTATGTAAGTCCTATGGCCCACAGGGAAAGGAAGAGACCTTCAGTTCCCAAAATGGAGTCTCAGTGGCTCCTGGGGACAAGGGCTGCCAAATCAGGGGCAAGACCCGGGAGATGTCAGGACCAGGGCTCGGGGGCACAGGAAGCATGCCTGCTGGACATCAGAAAGGGGGAGAGGAAGTGGTGCCACAGGACACCCCCACTGCTTTACAATCATTACCTGGAGAGGTGGAAACATCTCCAGAGGCGTTTCCTACCTGCAAAGGCGGGAGGAAACCAGCTTGGACAGAGCCAGAGCTGCAAGGGAAGCTGGACAGAAGGCAGTGGGAAGTAAAAGGCTGCCTCTGCTGTTCACTTCCTATTTATGCCTCAGTCTTCTCATCTGAAACAATGGATATGATACCTACCATCCTGGCATTCTGGGAGGCTGAGGCAGGAGAATCACAAGTTGAAACCCATCCTGGCCACCTTAGTGACTTAGTGAGACTTTGTCTCAAAAATAAAAAGTAAAAAAAGACCCCTGAATGCCAATTGACTTACACATACAAGAAAGGGACCCACATTTAGTAGGTGCTCAACAAATGTGGGCTTCCTCCTTTCTTGCCCCAAAGCTGGGAGCTAAACAGGTGAAATCTTATATCTGATTTTTGAAATTCAACAAATATTTACTGAGAAGGGGACAAATACAAAGACAAACAGGGTTCTTTTTTGTCTTCATCGAGCTCAGCAGCTGTCAGTGTGTGACACCATGGTTCTTCTGGCTTCTGTGCCTTTGCCTGGGCTCGTGTCCATCTGTCTGGAGCAGGCTTGTCCCCTGAGCCTGGGACCCGCTCACAACCTTTGCCCATTCACATGGGAACTGGATCTAAATGGCACTCCGTCTTCTGTGCCCACACAGCCCTGTCCATGTCTCTCTCAGACCCTCTGATGTGGGATAGACTGGTGATTGAGAGGTCAGGAGTCAGATAGGTTCGGTTTCCATCCTGGCTTTGCTGCTCACTGACCTGGTATCTCAGTCTCCTTACCTGAAAACTGAGAGCAAAATCTTCTGTCCCTGAGATTTATGTGAGGACTGAGTCCAGACACGCAAAGCCTATGAGGTAGAGCCCAGCACAGAGGAATTCCTGGTAAGCATGTGAAGTGTTGGTCCTCACTCCCTACCTGGCACAGAGCGTGCACTCTGAGGACATTTGGCAAAAGAATGAAGGATGTGTAGTCACTACCAAAATAGCAGGATAAAATATGACTCAAAAATGGCCAGGAATCCACAACACACAAAGGACAAGATTCACAGTGTAACATGGTGGGTGGAGAAAAAGTTAACTATTATTAACAGCCTGAGAAGGTGTGGAGGAGTCCCTCCCCAGGAGAGATTAGAGTGTGGGAAGGAGTAGACACTGGCCAGTCCAGTGTAGCCTGGCCCTGTGACTGTAGACACACCCCGTAGTAAGCTGGCCTGTGTTCACACTTTAAAAATAGCAGAAATAGCCCCTTAGTTCTGGGAGGATGGATCGGTCATTGCTGGCCTAGGGGCAGGCTGTTACAAGATTTTACTATTCTCAAGGTACTCTAGGCAGCTCCTGTGGCAGGGTTGCTCCCTAGCAGGGGAGGCGACTTCAAGCTTCAGTTGTCCTGTAAGAGCAGAACCCAGCTCTGCTGACTCCAGACCCCTGCCGAGCGCCCATCTGCTGGGTCTGCCCAGGCCAGAGCAATGAGGTGGAAGGCCAGGGTCTGAGTTGGATACCAGCCTGGGCACTGACTTTTGCTTTCCCTCTTGTCCCTGCAGGCGCCATCCGCCCGCTGCCTGCCCTGGCTTTCCCCCAAGAGCAGCATGGCCTCTGGCCTTGGTTGCTGTGGAGACGGTGTCCCCTGAGGCCTTGCCTTCCTTTCCTGACACCCACAAGTTCTTGACCGAAAGTCCTTCCCTCCAACCACTGCTGACTTACTCTTCCCCAAGAGCAGCCTTCTCTTTTCATTCATTCTTTCATGCAATCATTCATTCAGGTAATAAATATATACAGGGTGAACCTACATGCTGGGCACCACTTAGAGTATTTTAGTTGCTTGAATATAGAACTGAACAAGACGACAGAATTTCTGCCTTCATGGAGACTAGAGATTCTCATGGAAAAGAGAAATAATGGAAACATAATAAACTTGTATGATACAAAGAAAGTAACACAGGCCTGGCCTCTCCAGGAAGTGACATTAGGCAGAAACCTGAATATGAGAGAGTAGCCAGATGAATATCTGGGGAAGAAACCTTCCAAACAAGGAGTCAGCCAGCACAAGGGCATGGCCATGGAATGTCCACAAGGGTGAGGAGTACAGGCAGCCCGAAGTATGGGAGTGAGACTGGATGGATGTAGAAGGTCAGGTGGCACAGGGTCAGGAAGGATATGCTAGGGCAATTGTGTTTATGGAGTCAATCAGAGGACAGGATACTGTGATTCCTTTTTAAAATCTCACCCTGGATGCACAGTGGAGAATTGGTGGGGGTTGGTAGCACAAGTGGAAGCTGGAATCTTAACCAGAAGGTTGCTGTCATTGTCCTCCTCCAGTGAGACAAGACCGAGGCTCAGAGTAGTAGTTAGCAATGGCAGATGGCTGGACTGGAGGCTGATTTTGAAGGTACAGTCCATGGAATTTGCTGTGCAATGGGAAGCTGAGTAGAAGAAAATGTGTTTTCCCAAAAACGACTCCTAAACTTGCAGGCAGAGTAAATTGTGGTGCTTTTTCCTGAGATAAGATAAGAAAGAAGATATTAGGATAGAATTCAGTGTTCTATTTTGGATGTGTTAAATTTGAGGTATTAAACAAGAAAATGCCACACTATGCTCCATAAATATCTATAGTTATTACATGTTCATCCAAAAATTTTTTTAGTTTCTTTCATTTTTTTTTATTAGTACATTGAAGTACATGCTGTTTACATTTCTGGTGGGGAGTTGGAACACATACCCAAAACATTTTAATTCCTTTTCTCATCCCCTTCTCCTCCTTCCCTCCCCTCTCTATCCATCTCAATCCCTTTCCCTTTTTTTGTGCATGTTTGCAATACGTAACATTTACATAAAATGTTTAAGGAGATGGAACTGTTAGCTATGTTGATTTGATCATTATACGTGATATAGGTGTATCAAAATATTACATAGCACCCCATAAATTTGTGCAATGAAAAGGGTTATTTGTAGAAAAAAATATATAGTAGTATCCTAAAACACTTCCCTTTGTAACCCTAAGAATTCTTTTAAAACATTTTTTTTTTAATGAATGGAGGAGGAGGCTGCACATCAAAGAGTGTGAGCAGCCTTTAGAAGCCTCTAGAATTAGAAAAACCAAGGAAATGGATTCTCCTCTAGGGCCTCCAGGGAGGAACACATTCCGGCCTGCATTTTAATACAGTAAGTCCACTCCCCAACTTCCAGATAGCACAAATATAAAGTAATGCATCTGTGCCATTTTAAGCCATCACTTTTATGATGATCAGTGCCACAGAGACAGGAAAATAGCCCCAGGAGGAAGGGATCAGCCCATCGAATCATAACCCAACCCTTTGCAAGTGAGAACGAAAATTCTCCAATGGTCTGAGCAAGGTAGAGGTCACTGGGGGCCATGATATTAGTTCAGGGGCACAGATTGGAGGGCACAGAGGAGAATGTGAGAAGGAAGAAGATAAAGTCTTGGACTGGGCCAATCTTTAGAGATTTACTAAAAGAGAAGGCTCAAAAGTAGGGCAGAGATGGGCGTGGGCTTAAGGGAGTTTTCTGTTCTTGCTTTTGAAGATGGG